GAAGCAGCAGACAGCAGTTCTGCCAGGAAGAAGTGCTGGCCTTCAGCATGAAGGGCCCTTTCAGCTGCTTCACAAGGAGTTCTTTTCAAGTTGGGAAATAAACAGTTATTTCCCAAGTTGGGAAATAAACGAATAAACCAAGAAAATAATGGTTAAAATGCTTTCTTCTTCTCTTGGTTGGGACTTTGGTGACTGCCTATGGATTCCTTTGTCCCCTTCTGGTCTCCCCAGCCCAGGAGGGACTCTGATGCATGTGGTATGGGCCCAGTCCTGGTGAGGAGATGGTGAGGAGTCAGGGCTCATGGCAGGTTGAGGCAACTGCCTCTGGTCATGAGGCTGGAGAGGCACTGTAGCAGGTGGCCCAGAGAAGGTGTGGATGCCCCATCCCTGTAAATATTCAAGGTCAGGTTGGCTGGGGCTTTGAACAGTCTAGTCGAGTGGAAGATACCTGTCAGCCTCACCTCTGTGTTCAGCCAAGCCCTTAAATCATGCCCCAATATTCTCAAGGAAATGGTAGGAGATGCACTGATCACATTGGAGACCTGCTGTGGGTACAGCTGCAGCCGAGTGTGAGGCTGACACCCTTTCCCTGGATTGTCACAGGCTGGCAAGTGCTCACTGGGCATCACCAGAACCACAACGCTCCCCAAGGCATAAACCCAATTTCTGTGGCCAGGCATCCCATTGCACCTGCACCCACCACGGGCCTTCCTGACACTTTGCTTTAACGTAACAGCTGGATTCCTCTGGTCTGCACCAGCTCCAGGCTGGCTCCTGGGCACCAGCTGAGGAGGGTGCGAGCCCAGGGCCACCCCCATAGAACTGCACACATCCAGCCCCCGGCGCTGGGTGTGCTCTGACAGGGGTGGGGTAGGTAGGGGGGCACGGCAATGCCACTCACAGCAGCTGGGGCAACCCATGGGAAGGGCCTGTGCCACATCCAGAGCCAGCACCCAGCCTGCTTCACACCCCAGCCCAACCAACCCAGCTATATCTGTATCCCCCACCTACAGGTCTGGCCCACAGATTACTCTCCCCGATGTCCCAACACGCCAGGTGCAATTGTTCCAAACATACCAACAATCCACGTAATCTGGGGACTCCATCTGCCAGATATCACTGCAGGAAAGTGAATTCGTGTGGATCAGAAGCTCCTGGTGATGGCTACCATTCTGCCAAGCTGCCACTCCAGGTTAGAGCTGCCCAATCCTCTTGGCACTACGCTATTGCCTGTTCTTTGGATAACTCTGCTGTACCAGACATTTTCTGCCAATTTTGCAAAACCTCAGCCAAGGGTGTACCTTTTGCAGTGCTGGGTCTATTTCCCATTGTTTCAGGCACTGAGAGGGACTTAAACCCCCATTTTACATGAAATAAAGGGACTTGAATTCCCCTTCTACACATGCCTTACAAGGGACTCTAACCCCCTACACCTGATGAGGGACTGGGAAAACCCAGGTGCCTTTCAGGGATTATAACCCCGTGCAGATCTTCAAAATCTTGAGCAAAATACTTCACCACAGGGCAGAGTCAAACCCACCCTTATAATTTAAACTAAAACTGCACAGGGAATTTTAACACTCACCCTTTGGCTCCTCCCTGCTCCACAGCTCTCCGGTGAACTCACACAGTGCCAGCAGCTGGATGTTTGGAGAAGGGAGACACTGAAGGTGGTGGCCTAGGGTGCCATCTGGATTGCCAAACTGTTTAGGAACCTTTCCCATCTGACTGTTCTGGAGCCACTCTGGTAGTCACACTCCTGCCACCCAAGACTTTAACTGCTGAAACCGAAGCCCCTTTGCAGTGGGTGGTTCCAGTGAACCAGCAGGTGCCCTGTTTTACTCCCCACACACCCCACACTCACACAGACAAGTTTCCCTCACCAGCTCGACCCTGGTTTTCCCACAGCAGACTGTCTGGTTCCTTTAAGTAATTTAATTGTGGTGCAGGGACATAAGAACTGCTCAAGCTGGGTGCCTCTGGAATTCCCTGGCTTTTGTACCCTTACAGTCTGTGCACCTGTGCTCCTCACATGCCCTTTACACCCCTTACACGTGCCTCTTGGTCCAGTGGTGACATTTGGTCTGGGGTCTTCTCATTATTCATTGGGTTCAACAGCATTTCTGGATGACAAGCCACCACCCAGGTGACCAGTGCTGCAGGTCTGGCTTGCCCTTTGTTAGGCAAAGGGTCAGCACCTGGTCAGGCCTCACACACCAAACTACCTGCACCAGGTGTATTCCTCAAGAGAAGACCCATGCAATTGTTATTGCTTAATGAAGGCAGCTGGCTGTAATTAGTGAGGACCCTCACTACAGCAGTGGGAAGCATTTGTAGATCCTCATGCTGTCCTCTGGGGCTGGAATTGATCAGTATGTCCTTTGGAGCTGTTCCACTTGGCACTGGGAGTTATATTCTCCTTGTATGAGCAATTCATTTGTGTGTTACATACTAAGCTTCCCAATTAGTTTATAAAATTTTAATTCCTAATTCCTGTCTGGGTTTCGACCTTGCTGTCTTCCACCCTCCCACAGTCCTTACTGAAAGGTTATTTTTGGTGGACAAGCAGATGTCCAGAATTTCTTTTCCAGCCCCTTAGCACGGGTAACGTGGTCCCCACAGACACACCAAGCACAAACTGCTCTGGAGTGTGTGTCAAGAACTAATTCTCTCACAGCATTAGTGAAAAAAAGCAAAACAAAATTAAAAACCAATGAGTTTTTCTTTACTAACACAGAGGCCAGTTGCTAGGACTCACTTTTAACACCTGTGACAGAGCTAATGCTTTTGTATTTCTTTGCAGCACCAACAGGAGAGAATGATACTAATACAGGTAGGCTGTGTGGTGTCAGAGTCTCAAGAGCTCAGCTCTGAGGTCTTGATGGCCTTGGCAGCCCCTCCCTGCTACCAGTAAGTACTCTCCATGCAGCCAGCCATGCCTTGTGCAACAGCTTAACAGCAGGCTGCAAACTGGGGTTCTTCCTGTTTATGTAACATTTCCTTTTCTCCCTTTGCTTCAGCTTTCCCCCCTCTGAAACGGAAATGTCTGCTTAGGTGAGCATTTTAGAAAAGGACCATCACATGTGTGTGCCCAGCTTTCATAATTATTAATTGTTCACTTCTAACAGAAAACATTCATAATTTGAAGTAGAGCTTATCTGAACAAAATCAGGATTCTCAAAGAACTTCTATTAAATAAGTAAATCAAAATCATGGGTCAGAACATCAGCAAACCTGGGAATGCAGAAAAAAGTTATAGACACTCAGATGGACACCCGGTGGAAGCAGTCAGGGTTACTAAAAGCTCCTTTACTTATGATGTTTCCCACCTAGCAAATTAAATGGCTATACTTTTGTTAAAGCTAAAAGAAACAGCATATGTGTTGCCAAAACTAAACAGTCTAATAAAACTAGATGTTTAAACCCTATAAGGGCTTAGTTCTTCTTCAATATTTAATAATGGTTACAGATCATTTCAGGCATTCCATGGGATCAGAAAAAAAGTACAAAGGAAGATCACTGCTGGTCCCAAAAATACTCTAAAGAGCATTAGTTAACAAATAGTATGTGAAAAACAGATAAACATGTAAGAAGTTTATCACCTAACTCTTTGCATTAGCAATTAGTGTCCATATGTTGGATTTTTTAATTTTCCATCTGACTAAGTAAACTATGCCTAACTTTGAGGCCTCAGAACAATTTACTGCAACAATCTTCTATTTAAATGATATTTACTTGCACATTCTAATAAAAATACTGTTTTCTAACCTCATGTATCACAAACACTGGACAAGAGAACCCAGGTAAAAGTTAGAAAATTACCTATTTTTTAATGGTTTTATACCAAACACGTATTTCAAAGCAAATGAATGCAACAGCAGATCAGACAGATTGAGCATCCTGTGCACAAATACACCTGGAAAGGTTGGTCTAGTCAAGTGATTTTTCTCAGCTTTGGAGCTTCACCAGTTTTCAGGGTGGGCAGATTCCTAGACAGCAAATAGAAACCTCTCATTTTTCTCAGTGATCTTAGACAGTGCACAGAGACCACTCCTCCTCTGCTAGTTTGATCACCTGTGGTGATCAAACACCTGCCAAAGTGCAAGATTACCCAAAGCTGTATTGTTCCTGACAGAGGAAATTGTGAGTCTCCTGTCACTGAAAATTTCCCAGATAAAAAGTCTGTGCCAAGGTTCCCAAGCCTTGTATTCAGAACATTTTCTCATGTCTAACCTGATTGCAGTTTTGAATCCGTTTTATCAGAGACATGGAGGACAGATGCTTTTCTTCTGCTTGCCAGCAGCTTTGGACATGTTTGAAGCTTGGGGATTTTTGATACTGGGCAGCTGATCATTCCTGTCTAAGCATGAGTTCTTTGCTATTGTCCTAACTGAACTGCACCCTAGGTTTTTCTGTCCATTTTCCAGAATTATTCCAAAATCACAAAGTGATAGAAATAAGCAGGCCAAAAGTTCAGTTCTTACCAACAGCCAGACCTGGAAAGAGTTTCTCTCACAACAAAGAGCACTGAGGCAGCAAGAAAGAGACACCCAAGGTGGCAAACGAGCGGCCTCTGCTCGGCTGGTGTTCATGAGGAATCTCACTGTCCTCTTCATGGAAATGGGAGAGAGGAGTATTTCTACAGCATGTACTCACTTCAAGACTTTGAGCTCACAGTTTAAGAAAAACTTACAGACCAAAAATGACTACAGATCTAGTAAAATCCGGACTGATAGTATAACATCCTAAGGCATTCCTGTTGGCATTCCAGGTAAAAATACAGTTTAAATGGCACTGGAAACTCCTTGTGTTAAATAACCTCCATACTCAGTGTAGACAATTTATCAAGGTGTTTCTGACCTTGGGTAGGGAAAGACATAGTTGTTTCAAACAAATTAAGTTTAATATTTCTGCACAGTGTTCTGTATTCACAAACGCTGGGAGCTCTATGACATACACAGGGTAAATTATGTGAAAGTACAAAAATCAGTCGTTGCACATACTGGTAAATAAATACATTTACTCCAGAATAACAAAGAGTTTCTTTAAAAAATTTAATTTGTAAAAGCACATTCTTGCAGGTTTATCTAAAAGTCTCTATAGGTCTGAACAAAAAGGAGATGTCTGAATAGTTGAAACAGGCCAAGACAGTCTTGTGTGCAAACAAGCATAATGTGTTACAGCCACTATGACAAAACATGTCTGGTTAAATATTAGTTCTCACAATTAAGTCATTTTTTGTCAATTTTGATATATTCCACTCTTTAAACCGCATAGAATATAAAGGAAATCTAGACTTTAACATATCCAAATTCTACTGTATATCATTGGTTTATTTAAGAAAGGCAAAGAGATGAATAAGAAAATGTTTACTGTGGGAATAAAAAAAAAATACCCCACCCCCCCCCAATTAAACTGCTTTTTCATTTTCTGGGGATAGAAACATTCATGTAGCACATTTTGTACTTCTTGAAATTTAAGTAAACATGTCAGAAACAAAGGTTATTTTTCTTTACAGGCAGACATAGACACAACACATTCTAAAATCGGTATTTCTTCAGCTGCTCCCAAACACTGGATCTTTCAGACTGTCATTAGTTGGATGAAGATGATGTTGGAAAGTACAAAACCAGCTCCGTGTCTACTAGGAACTCTCAGAAATGAACCACCTCAAAACTACTTAGTTTCTGAGATATTTCCCAAAGGTGCAACGAGTTACAAAACATCCTGCACAGACACTTTTCCCCTTGTTTCTTGCCGTCGAATATAAGAAATTGTTCAAAAAGGAGAAACAAAAGCCCCAGTCTTGTAATCACAGGGTAGAAATTGGCTCACTGCACAGATCAATCCCACTGAAAAGCCACCTCAAAGGAAGAGCAGATGGCTCTCTGTAATAGGTACAGACACTTAAATGAAAGCACGAGAGAGAACTTTTTCTAATCTTTTCAAAAGAAAAAAAAAAATCACTTGTTCAAAATTGTTATAGAAGAAGTTTCAAATATCTGACTCTTTTAGAGAGACTTTGAAATCATTAACGTCAAGGCAAATTAATATAATGGTTTATATGTCACTGTGAACAGAGGGAAAGGAGACTGAGTAATACCACCAAAGAAGTTTTTTCAAGACTATATCCATATTTATATGTGTGAGTGTGTGCAGAACAAATATTTGCACATCTACCTCTGGAACACATTGGGAAAGTCATAAATCAAGCCCAGCCCACCCCTAATACTGAGAATCCAGCGGTACTGGACACGTATGTATGCCCCCCTTTATGGTTTATAACTACCAGATGATCTGATTTTCCTGTCCCCAAGCACAGGATTTTAATTTGAAATAAACTGTTAGTTTCAATCACAAGAAAAGATTTTTATACTTTTAAGATACTACTAATAAAATTAATAAACCCCCAATATTTGTCTTTTTCATATGTGTTTTTCAGTAAGCCACCATAAAAGGTTTGTTTCTTACAGACCTTGTTTCTTAGAGAAACTCCCTCTGTGATTTGCTAATTCTTGTGCAGGTTCAGTTATCCACTATTTTATCCCCTAAGTCATGGGCAGTGTTTTGTTCTTCTAAATGCCCTGTTTAGCTGCAGTAGTGACATCACAGAATTTGACAGCATGTTCTAATGGAAAAGGTCAGCTTTTTCACCAATAGACATTCTAGATCCCCCTTTGAGTGTCAACAAATCTTCATGGGATGTGTGTAAGAGCCAACTTTTGGCCTCCTTTCCAAATCCAACTTTCTGAAGTATTCATGCCAGTAATGCCCAATTTTTGCAATCCATCTAAGCCTGCTCTGAAACAAAGACAGACAAGAAGACATCGGGACTGTGGGACAGACACGGAAATGTGGCATTATGGAGACACAAGAGAAGTTAGAAAGAAACATTCAGTTACACCAGCAGGCTTGGGATTAGGCCTGAAATAGAAATAAATGGGTGGAAGTGTCATCATGAAGAGATATGCACATAAATCAGGCTGTTCAGGAGAGAAACACGTGGTATGGGCAGAGTTCTTACCAACATAACACAGCACAGGCAGTGACCATCATAGTGTATCAACCAACACTGAAATCTGTGACTCACTCTAAGTGATGCCAAGCGGTGTGGCCAATTCTCCAGCAAAAAAATCACCCTACTGTCATTCCCCAGCACATCCTATTGCCTCGTCTGCACGCTGGAGTTCCTCCACATCTGTAAATGGAGCTTGTTTGCACTTTGGTTTGCTTCTCTGTAACTGCGTTCCTTGGATTCTGTGATGCCTTTTTCTGGGCTTAGGGCTCAAAATAGTGCAAGTATAATAAAAAGGTGTTATCTTCTTATATGCAATGCAAACACACGGAAACTTCAAATAACTTAAAGAACCACAGGTCCCAATTTTTGCCTTCAGGAGGAGCTCTTTCTTCAGTATTGGGAGAACTGTATTTTAATGGCTTCGGTTCAGCATTTTCTTTGCTAAGCTTCCATGCACGTCTTTGCAGCCGTGTCCTCTGACTGGTGACAGACACACAAGGTAGGAAACAGCACACAGGGAAAAACATGCACTGTTACAGGGCAGGGTGACAGTAAGCACGTAAGAGTTGCACTCTTAGTGATAAACCCGTCCGTAATAAACCCGTTGTGTGTGTTTTTCTGATATGGTGGCTGCTTGCATGAATGCTAAGAGGGGCTGTCATCCTCCAGATCCAGGCAGATATAAATGAAGAAGAAAAAGAGAAAGGAAGATTATTTTCTGACAAACAAGCATACCTCTGATGGGCACTGTAAAAATAAACCTAGCTATACTGGCATCATTCACATCACGCTCCTAGCATCAAGCTCTGCTGCACTGGTAAAGCAGCTGCTTTCAGCATGCAGTCCCCAGACCTCAACATCCACAAAAACCCAAGAAGAAAGCACACTGTTGTCAGGAAGCTTAAATTCACCATACAGGTGGCAATAAATCAGGGAGTGATGAAAACTACTGCAGTAGGAAAAGAGGACTTCAGAAACGTGGCCTCAAGGGTGCAGGTGCTGAGCTTGGGAGGTGCAATTCAAGGAGCCAACTGTTAGGAATGCGGCACTCTAAGTCCTAAGTGCCACCCTGAGAGTACAGAAGGGTGAATCCCTTTACATATGTTCTCCAATATCTTGGTCAGAAACCTGTTCAGCACTTTAAAATTCACCAACGACCTGGAACTGCACAATGTGATGAATACCCGGGTGGAGGATTACACAACTTGAAGGCCACCTTATTTCAAAATGGGAACATATACACAGGGATTTAACACACTTTAGTTCACAGACATTGACTTTATAGAGGTTTTACTGACTTAGTGTTCTGGAGTGTCCCCATATGGAAAAACCTGTACATCTTTGAAAGGAGAGAAAGTTATAGACTGGGGGGGTGGGGAGAATCGGGGAGCTGAGAACAAAACAAGGAAATTGCAGTAACATAGATTACTAAGAAGCTGAAAAGCATCTACCACCTTCAAAAAAGTATTTGAAGTGCTACCAAATAGGAATTCATCCTCATGGACTTATGTGATGTGGTCCAAAAGACAGAATAACCAGTGCTTTCAAAAACAGGGGTTAGGGGTGATTCCTTTTTAAAGAAAAGAAATCCAACAAAAAACCTTGTCACGGTGTCACTGAATTCAGTAACTCTTGAGAGTTTATCACAGTTAAAGAGCCATATTCCACAATCAGGTTTTTGAGATGACACTGCTACAAATCTTTTAGGAGTACACATCACTGATGCAGTCCTACTTAACCCAGAAGTTAGAATTAACAGAAGACAGAAATTCTATCTTTTTAGCCTACATTATAAAGCACTGAATCTACAAATAAATACAGTTAGAAATGAAATAGAGCCCCATTGTTGGGGTTTTTTTCTTTACTTCGGAAAACTCAGTGGACTTGATTTAAGTTTTTTGCAGAGCTACTTCTCAGTTCCTGACACTTGCACAGCACCCTCGTGCTTGTTCTGGGCCATCTTCATAAATTAATTTGCATGAAACTTGATTACAGTGCAACTTCAATTGCCTAATGAGAACTCTGTATAATACTACTCACCTGCTGCTCCCAGACTTATGTGAGGCTTTACTAGCACCTTTCCAAAGTGCTGTTTTTAGTTTGGGGACGTTTGTTAAGGCTGATATTTATCACAGATTGGCCCCAAGATGGAAGGTAGTTCAACAAGCATAAAAGTATCAACGGAAAGCCCCCCAGAAAGGAACATTGTGCCATTTTGGTGACAGAGGGCTGTATCTTTGGACCAGGCCCTCACACTGTGTCCCAGATGTAGTATGCAACAGGGTATCATAGGATGTTTCATGCACACACTACTCTGCCAGTAATAGGATTCCTGGTTGGCAAAAATAAGCCCTCTGTCAATCCAGGCACATAGCACTAAGTGTCAGTGACTTTGCCTAGAAATTCTGGGGTTTTTTTCTTGGATGAGAAGTTTATATTTTTAGTATCAAATCCCAAATCTCCACATGTAAATCTCCACAGCAGAAAATGAGGCAGAGACTTTATTAGAAAACACTGTTCTATTTGTGTTCAGCATTGGAAGTACTGCCCTTCAGAAATAAATGCAGAGGTGCACAAAACAGCAGAATCATAAGGCAAAACCCAAGGAAAGCATATTATAATAGCTATGTTATGTTTTTTCCAGCAGAACTATCAAGCACTGCTCATACAACAACTGAGGAAATGGCTGGAAAAGGCAGCTGCCTCTCAACTAAATCAACTTGGTGCACCTATAACTACTTCAAAGAGTATTTTATTTGAACTTAAACCACATCTTTGAAAACATTTTTAAAATAGCTAAAAAATGCTGTAATGTTTAAAGACACATCAGGATCAATACAGTTCTACATCTAGCCAGCAAGGACAGGAGATTCTCCCTAGGGAAGAGAACAGGATGGTAATAACTGGGTTATCTTCAGCTCTCTCAGACTGGAATGAGGACCTCCCGTTACAAGGTGCCAGAGCTCACACACTTGTTTGAACACTGAACTTAATAGTATGTCAAAGGTTGCACTTGATGATCTTGGAGGTCTTTTCCAAGCTTAATTATCCTATGAGTAGTGCCCAAAGCCCACTGCCACACAACATACTCTGGTTTTGTGTAATGATGAGATTTTCTGCACTGGCAAAATAAGTGATCTTATGATATAGTTTTCCAAGACATCAAGACTAAATGTTGTTAAGGTTACACTTACCTAGACAGTAGGCATAGCCTTTAAAAAAAAATTTAAAATTCAAATGGAATGAAAATTATTTGGTGAGTCAACATAGGAAAGGTATGTGATTTCTTATGTGATGTTCAAGAATGCCTAAGAGAATTAGGAAGGGCACTCTTGTTAGGACTTCAGAAATCTCATCACTTACTGTGTTCCTCATCACACTGACAGATTCCTGCACTCAAAGCCTGGCAATCTGCACAGGCCAAGCTCTGTTTGGTTTGCAGAGATGAAGCTTCAGGATCAGAAGCTTACATCATAAATGAGAGCTCAAACATCAAAACAAGCTTAAGAAAAGAGAATTTTGAACAAATAATCTCCTTGAAATTTCACGCAATCTGTAAGCATTAAAATCAGCTAGATTTTAATGTTAAAATTTATAAAAATGTTTATAAATTGCATTCTGGTACTTTTAGAGAGTTTACTTTATAAATTACTGACACTTCTAATGGCATTGTGCCAACTGGGATAGCCTCAGTAGGAAGCCACAGATACAGGGTGAAATGTGAGAAACATTGCATTGTAAACATCCCATTTCAGTATAAAAGTAGTCATAAATCATGAGACTCATTGTTTTTAAATCAGATGTGCGTGACAGAGTCAAAGTCTGCAGTAAAAACAGTTTTGAACAACTGAGTCACATCCAAGTGAAAAAACAAACGAACAACAGCACAAAAATGCAATTTGCAGCACAATCACCAAGTGTCTTGGTTTGCTACATAAAAGCATAAATAGGTGGTTGCATTAACTGAACCTCTGCAACGTGTTCAGGAATAATAGTTTTAAAACAACTGATGCTGCAAAGTAAAACACAACCAACAACACATCGCTGTGAGAAGGAAACGTGTATCAGATGGTTTGTCCTACTGTTTTTTCTGCACTTCCAGTAACTAAAAATGACACAAGATAGAAAAACTGAAGCCTCACTGAAATCACTGACAAGATTTCCATAGAATTCAACAGCATCATGATTTTATCCTAAGAGATTGTTTAGCTATTCAGTTTCTACACAGGTGGCAGAAAACTTCATATTTTTACTGAGGTTCCTTTAGTGAGCATTAATAGGGTTCTGAGCATGGCAACACCACTCGTCATCCACCAACCTCAAAATATTCCTGAGAAACCTCTCAGAAGATAAGAGACAGACATAGGTGGGCTAAAAACTAGTATTTCCATTCAACTTGTTGGAATGGAGGCACAAAGACGTTCCAAGATTTGCACATCAGTTGGGATTACCAGCCAGGTGACCTGATCTCCAGGCCTGTGTTCTATCAGCTGTTGGACAATCTGAAAGACTAGGCTGATTTTAACACAGATTTGGACTCTTCAGGGCTTTTTTTGCACCCAAGCACCAAAAGAGATACATGAGTATTCACTGGTACTTGCTAGGTACTACTTGCTACTCTCAAGTAGGACTTCGTTCCAGTTCATGTGCTTAACAAGCTTTTGCCAGAGTAATTTTCAAACTGTCATTGCAGACTTAAGTAAAACCATGAAAAGCTTCCAGTGTTATTGTGTAATCCAATTATAACGTGAATAGGAAAGTATTTTTTTTTCTCAAAAATGTAAGCATAATTTTCCTGAATGGCATCCTCTTCCTAAAGCCATCTAGCAAACCAGAGTACTGGTTCCATTAAACAGTTTCAAGAAAGCCAGTTAATTCAAGTCTTCTCATGAGTGAAGGTATAGATAAACATACCCTTACTTAAAAAGGGGAATCTATAATTTCTAGGCAGTTAAATAAAATACAACATACAAAATAAGTTTTAATGCATTTTCATCCAATATACAGGCATTTGTGAGTATCAGCTACTGAGCTACAGTTCATAGCAAAATACCAAAGCATTGAGAGAGTTGTGCAAATTCTTTTCTTAGTTCCTTGGTGAGCAACAAAAAGAACTGAAAAGTGTCTACATAATTACTTTCAAACACTTGCAGAGCAGAACCCTGGAAGGTACTTTTCGTACACGAGGAGCAACAGAAACCTGTTTTCATTAAGTAGCACGAACAAGAGAAGCTTGCATCTACAGTTAAATTAATTCTATTGCAAGATTTATGTGTATAAAACTATTTTTTTCTAGTAATCAAAATGAGGCCTTCTGAGAAATCTGAGTTATCAGGCCATAATTCTAATAAAGGTGACTGCTGTGCTGTCCTTAATTGCCAAGCAAAGTTATTTACTCGTGAGCACATGCTTCTCTAAAAGCAGGAAAGTCTGGAAAATGATGTTTTAGGAGAGCAATGGGGCAGATAGTTAAGATGCCACAGGATCAAACCCAAAATCTTTCCTCTGATACCTGCCACACATTAGGAGAAACTTTCCCTGCCAGGAACACCAGGTAACCCTCTGTTCTGTCCTATTAAAATAAACAAAGGCAAAATATTCCAATAGGGGGCTAGGCTCATCATTCCTTCAGGGCAAGAACACTTTTTTCCCAGTCCTTGTTGCATCCTATGCGAAATCACTAATAAATTAAAAAATTAATAATAAAATTTGCAAAAATGTAAGATACAAGAACTGGGAGTGATTTTCCATACTAAGGACTGGATTGATTTACTTCTTTTTTAACGGGTAGCTCTCGGGTAGGGGTAAGATTTTTATAGCAGAAAAGCAGGTCTAACACTCAATACTTTTAGGGACTCAGTGGTGTCTCTGCTTGTTTAAAATCCCTCCTTTGTTCATCATAAGGGAGCAAAACCTCAAAGTTTGAATTGATGGCATTGGTTCACCATGACTGATAAGACTCAGTGGTGTCATTTGACTCCACAATAATGTTTTTCGATTGTGCAGCCACCAGATTTTATTACAGAGCCCTTTTCACTACAGCTCCTTCAGTTGTAGTACCTCATGAGGACAGCCAGCTGGGAACTCCAGCTCGATTGTAAGGAACTTGAATAGCCAGAGATTTGCCCAGTAATTATTACAAAACCATTCTCACAGATTTCTTAGCATCAGAATTTGTAACAATAGCCTATGACATTACTATTTTATGTGCCATATATTATCCTACAAAAGGAGCAGAGTGATGTCTAGCTTCTAAAAAACAAACTCTATTATAGGCAACCAACACACTTCAGCTCACAAAATGACTTTCAACCTTTTGAAAAAAGGAAAAATAAGGCAGCACTACAAAGGGAATCTAACAGCCTGCCTCCAGGTTTGTGGACAGCTCTGCTCATTGATTTGCAACCAACGGTTTGGAAACTCCAGTTACTGAATGTTTACTGAGAAAAATTCTGATTATATTTTAGGCAAGCTTTTTTATCTGCTACCTTTTAATGTATTAATTTACTCTACTGAAAAGCCAAAGGGACAAATTCATCCCTCTGATAAGGCTTCTATTGTAGGAGCATCACTGAATGTGCACCAAAGGCATTATTCATCTGTGGAGAGATCACTGAGCAATATTGTCAAACACTTTTGAGTTGCACATCCTTAAAGAACAGATAAAAGAATTGTGACGAGAATGAGAAGGAACAGAACATCAGAGATGAAGAAAATTAGATAAAGGGCCAGGAAGAAACTGTTTGATGTAAACAGAGTGACAAGTTAGATTAAGAACTCTCATTAAAGCATGCAGTATTTGCCTATAAGCAATTCAGGCAAGGAATTTGTTTACAGCTCTGCCAAAATCAACAGCAGATGCAAAAAATCATCAATACTGGGATTTTAAATAATATTAAATCTACTGTATCCAGACACTCACTAGGACTATGTGAAGTAAATACACAGCTCAGGGCCATTATATTCTTTGTCACACTGAGTAAACAAGGTTATGCCCTGTTGCACATTGACATGCAGGGCCAGCAGAAATTATTAATATGAGTGTGCCACTAACTACACCTTGGTTACTTTAGTATGCATATATCTCTAAAAATACTTACTGGTATCAAGATTTTATTACTGGTGTGGAAGAAACTTTGTGAGGACAGTGTAATTTCAGGTATGACTCTATGCTAAGACTTTACCATGTTAGGAGAACAAAATTTAGAGATGTGCTGGAAAACTTGTGATATCACCTCGTGTTGACATCCAGTAGAGACGTTCACCAGAAAATGCCCATCAGAAATAATATAGTTTTTAAATTAAAAGTACCTGTTTCCAGAGCAGATGGTGAAGGTCAGGTGAATCAAAAGAACCCAGTACCTTGCTCAACGACAGTGAGAAATCAAGGTTTTGGCAAAGGCCACTAGGAACAAATCCTATTCTAACTAGACCAGATTTAATGAGAGCTCCTCATTCTTCAGTCCCAGGTTAACATCCCCCCCTAGTGACCTCAATTTATGGTGGGGAGTTTTTTCCTCAGCAGCTCGTTGGCTCATGGCCTCATACAATTCTGCTAAGACGATGGGAATTTGAGTCACCACTTTCCTCCTGGCATGGTTACAGGTTAAAAAAAATACCTGGCTGGGAAGAACATGCAGTGAGAGTGAAGTTACACAATGTGCTGGCAGTAAAACTATCCCAAGAAGCTGAACTCGCCGCCTTTCCCCAGCCCCTCGTTCTCACCCTTGTGCAGGAGTTCACTGCACATGAGCTTCCTTTCATGCCAATTCCCAGTGGGGTCATGATGTGAGTCAGACCATTGTTACAATCTGCGTTAAAAATAACCCTTCCTAAACCAACTCCACTACAAAAGCCAGCAGATTGTGTATTTGCACCATAAGACACTTAGTTCCTTTGACACAGTGCTGTGCACAGAGGGAAGCAGAAAACTATGTCAGGTGCCACTTTCTCAGGCTTTAAAGAAAGTGTATGACTGGCAAGGCACAGAATTAAAGCCATGCAGATTCAACCACTCCCATGCTGCAGAGTTCTTGAAATCCATGTCACACCTAAATGCCAGCAGTGGGAATTCTTGACTGGTTCTGCAGTAGTCTAAACAAAAAATTCTGGTTGTCATTGGAGCTAGTTTTTAAAGACTGATATGAGGTAAGCAAAGACCTAAGGGCCTTCTCTGTTAAATTCATAGTGAGATGACAGATAGGGATGTGAAATGGTGGGAAACCACCAGCTACAGAGAAACACATCCAAGTGCAAAGCCTAAGGATCAGGCTGCAGCTCATGACTCAACACTTCGGTCATTCATTGAGGGAACTGACTGCTCATTTCTCTCTAATAAAAGCTGTCTTTTCATTTTATACCATTGCATGGAAAGGCTTCTTGCAAAAAGATTTGAATTAACTGAAGACAATATTTGACAGGCTGAGTCCATTGACAAAACACCGTTCAAAGCCAGCAGACCCTTCTCCATAGATTGTTTAAAAGATTATAAAAAATGCTGGCAATCCCTTATTTTCATCTCTTCCATGAAATTTCCTTGTCTGTATACTGGGAAGGAGATCTGAAGGCAAAGGTGAAGAAGAGAGTAAATTTTTTTTATTAGTTGAAATTATACAGTCTAAATGGCACAATCTTAAGGAGAGCCTTGTGGACTGTCTCTTATAGTCAAAAAGGAACTGGCAACTATGAGACAATGATTTGATCTCATTTTTGCATTACATAATCTTTGGTTGTGCAATGCAAGAGTCTATAAAGAGTAAAAAGGAGGACCTGGATCCACACAGTATAAAATGCTACAACTTCTTCACTTGACTCACATTTCAATACCCTTCTGATGAACTACATATACATTCTAATACTTTGTGTGCCATTATGGATAACATTGTACAGAACAATGGCAGAAAGACCATTATTTTTAAAGGTGTTTTACAGTGTGCTTTCAGTTGCAGCTCTGGGCTTTTGAGATGTTCAGGAGAGAAGATAATAGAATGTTTTTTTCTTTGCTTGTGTTTTGAAATGGTATTTTTTATATATTCCAGATAAATCAGAAAAAAGGAAAGAAAAATTCCACACTATTTTAAGGTATTCTGTGTCCTGCCAGTGTCTCATTTGTATGCAGTATACACTAGATTTGCCTAGAAGGATTTAGCTCAGTAGCTGGCACATTTACATGAGAGAACAACATACACAGTTTCAATCGATTTCAAGCATTCTTACAATGGGAAATAAATATGAAAAGTGGTTGTCGCTGAAAGTTCAAAAATGCAATCAACAAATTGTAAAAGCTCAAAAGGCCAGACAAATTTAATAAAATATTTCCATTTACCTTCCTCAGCTTTACACAGCCTATTCAAAATAATAAGATTTGCTGCAGAGAGCCTTTATCCAACTGTTTATACCACTTCGTACAAAATATGTGTTTGCATTACCAGAGAAATACAAGGATATAAATTCTCAGCACACGAAATGCCAAATTCAACATAAGTTATGATTTCTTGGCAGCTAGATGTTTCCCTTTCCCTTTTCTGTACTTCAAATACATTTTCATTTGAAACAAATTAAAAAGCATGTAGATGTTAAAACATAACAACAGCTTAGAATTCAAGTGACTTGTGCAACATTGTTTTGTGCTTTCTACTTCTCCATTTCCTCCTACTGCAATTAAAATTCATCATGCCCTACTACATGTACAATAGCAATGCATCAAGTTCAGTCCAGTATAGGTTTTCAACCTTCAGACTTGACTTTATACTACACGAGATCCTTGCACAATCAAAAAAAAAGTGCATCTTTTTTTCTGATCTTTCTTTAACGCTGGATGATGTGAAGCTCTGATTAGTCGATGTAGGAATGCAACCTTGAGGTATGATTGCAGCCTCAGAATAATTCTTACATGTAAAAAGGAACTTTTTGAGCGTTCACGCCCTTTCTGGATTTAAAAAAGACACCACTGTAATGGTGCTACTAGAGCCACGGTACAGTACATCATGGCACATATCCATAACATAACCAGGGACATGAGATAGAACTTCTGTTTACAAAACCTTGATGTCACTTCCAGAAAAATATGACAGGGAAAAAAAAAAAAAAAGGAAAATATAATTTCCTGAATGTCCTGAATTTTTTAGAAGATTCCTTTTACTTTCTCTTCAGCAATAGAGTAGTCCTCCACAACTGCATTTTCCCTGACCTTTTTATTATGGACCACAAGTGACACCAGCAGGAATTGGGAATCACATGGCAAACTGCTTCCTTTGAGAGGATGCTCACCCACGCCCCTTTACTCACAAGCCAGTTTGCTGTCAAAACTGGAAAGGGCAATTGCAAAGGCTTGAAGTGCACACATTGGGTAGTTGTAGTCCATGGTGAACACATCCTCAGCCACGCGGCCAAACTGCATCACTATATAGTCAGCTGCAAGAAAGGTCATAAAAGGTGACAGAGCATTATTTTTGTTTGCAGTCCTTACTAAATCAGTATGCATTCAACATCATCCTCTGGCCCAGTTCAACGAAACACAAACAAAACGTGCTCACTCATGAAACTTCACAACACTTATTCATGCAAGTGGGTGTGCTGATAGCAGAGGGAGAAGCAAGGATAGCTTGAGTGATCGAGGGTTGCAAGATTTGTTACTGTCAAAAGAAGGACACAGATAAAAAGTATTTTTTGCCAGCACAGAGAGAAAATGGCTTCTTTGTAGAATGTTCAAACCTCTTTAACAGATCTAGTGCCAAATTTCACGTGCACCAAGAACTAGTTAATTCTATTCTCACTTAACTTCAGGCAAGTGGACAAGCAAAAATAATGGGAGAAGAAAAGGTATAATTATTATCTAGACCTAATCATATCTCTCTGTTATAGCATGTTCAGAAATTCTTCCCAACTTTTTTCCCTTTTGTACTCTTCGTCAGTAAGAGGAAATCTAAGCCTCATTCACAGCTGGAAATGTTTAATTGCAGAAGCAGGTGTACCTGTTTCCCCCTATAAAATGCATACATCAATGTTTCAAATTCAGTGTTGCCCTCAGAGACTAGCACAGCCACTTTCACCAGTTTCCCTGCAGTCTGCATGGCACTGGTCTAGCCTGGTGGGCTCCAGCACTAGTGACTGTGCCTGCCTAAAGTGGGTATGAAGTGGGGCAGTGCTGCTCCATTCGAGCACTTGCCTTTATCCTGGCTCTGACAACTGTACCTAAGCTTGAGAAAAAAAGGGAGCTGCACGTTGATGGCAGAAAGCAGCCCATCAGTAAGGGCCTGGGGATAGTGTGAAAGGCTGTTCTGACACTGGCAATGTTCTGTAGGGGTAACGCCACAAAGACTAGTAATGGTAAGGTGGACATGCAGTGGGACTGGTGTGACTGCCACCTCCAGCTGGGCAGTGTGTGGGGACCAGATCAAACAAAAAAAACCAAGGAAGGATTATGTGATACATGTGCTTCAGCAGAGTGACCATGCCCCACGGTCCTGCTGACTGCAGGACTGCAAGGCAGCTGGTCTGAGAGCAGAAATGACTTTAAACTGTTGCTCAGTTCATAAGCTGGGCAACCACAGCAGAAAACTCAGACAGCACATAGCTATCCCCTGTTGCAAGCATGAGCATTTAAACACCTAACTTGCATCAATGCCATGGCCATAAGGCAGAGTAGCATTAAGCTGGAGCCACGGAATTCAGTTAAACCTGCCCAAATAACAACTGTAAGGGCAGAAACCCTCCCAGGCTGTGCATGCAGTACTCTTCCTACACATCACTGACTGAGAGCTGTACTTACGATCATTGTCATGAATAATTTGGAAGTTTTTCACCGAGGCCAGTGTGACTCGACCATGGAAATTTAAAACATAGGACTGGGTGTCATCATTCCAGACTGGCGTTTTGTTATGCAGCTCAATGACACTCTCTGTGTTTTTGTTCTGCCATCTTGCAAGAAGTGTCTCATGTTCCTGCACACATCACAGATACACACTTTGCTTTAACATAATCACATGACAAAAAACACATTAGAAAAGAAGATAAGAATTCATAAATCCTAGCCCAAAAACTGAACTGTTACCCTCAATCCTTAAAACAGCTTCAATGAACGAAAGAGAGAACTCTGAGGATCTTAACGTGAATGTCCTTTCCACCATTTGGAAAATGTTAGTTGTAACTTTTGTTACCAAAATACATTATTTGTAGTGCTTTTGTGAGTCACAGGACTAGTCACACATCCTATTGTTATGCAGTTGTTCAAACACCACTTTATTTACCTCTAGACCTTCAGAAATGCAATTATAAAACCCGATTCTAACTGAAAGAGAATTCAAGTTAGTGTTGGATGATGGTGTGACTTACATTTCGTGGCCTGATGGAAACTCTTTCATGGTCCATATTCATTCCTGGTATGATCACACTCATTTTGCGAGGTCCTTTAAACCCCAAGACATTTGTTTCCTAAAAATGTTTAGAAAAGATTTCATCATGTTCTTTATTTTTAAAGTTAATTTCTTCAACAGAGAGACACAGCGGCAGCCATGGGAACTTATTTGTTAGTCAACTAGAAAAACATCTTGAAACTCCCACCTTCACTGGCACTGCCAAACATTCTAGCTTTGTCTTAGAAGCTCCAACAACAGGAAAAATGGAAATAGAGAGGTTTCCAAAAACATTCCTAGCATTGGCTGCCAGCACCTTAATATAATTTAAAAACAAAAATCCCTTTGTTAAAAAAGGATATGAATTAACCAGATTGCTTGGCTACTGCTAGATCCCAAAATAAAGTAGTTGCAATTTAAAAATCATAAAATGCAGTCACACATTTTGATGCGAGACAAAATTAAAGATATGGGACCAGCTCCATTTATTCCAGAGCCAGCACAAAAGCAAACAAGAAGAAGCTGCCAGTAAGAGCATCTGTTAGCAGTGCTGTGGTTTTCAAAGTGTTCAGATATGTTATGCTTAGAGATGAACATGGTAAAAAACAAACACATTAGCATGAAGGCAAATTTTCTAGCTATGAAGACAGGGAAAGTAAAGAAATCACAGGGGCAGCAAAAGCAAATCCATGGAAAATACAAGTTCTTGCATTAAACATGATCTGATGCTTTTGACCATATTTTTACAAAAGCTCTCCAGTAAAAGCTCTCCAGCAGAGGACAGCTCTCACTGTCCTCTCAAAACACAACCATTAAAATCTAAACCAGCCTAAAGCCTTATTTTTATCTGACACTTCTTTTTTTCTCCCTCAGAAGCAACTAGGGCCAAATATTTCTCTAAGTCATCATATGCTTTTGAAAAAGTAGAGGGCAATATTTCCCAATCCACTCAGTAAAAGCTGATTTTAGCATTAACTCCAGCAAATGAAACAGTGAAACCTCTGGAAGTTCATATCCTCAAGTTTCATGATAATTTTTTTTTTCCAGATATATGGATTTTTTTTTCCCCTCTACCATTCTGAAATGAAGGGCTGTGGACATACACTAAGGAATCTCAGAAAGGACATTCCCATTGGTGCTATTCCCAGCAACATACCACAAGATGCCAAGAACCAGACAGCCCTGGCCTCCAGCTGGTGGGGCTTTACCACTGGGACATTTAGAAATTACACATTCAGATGTCTCTGCTTTTATACTTTTAATCAAATTGTCCTGATTTTAAGGAACACTAACATTTCTATTCTTGCAAGTAAAAATCCAAGCATCTCAACTCACCAGTAACATCTGAAAAATACGCCTAAAAATTACTTGTGCAGTTTTGTCATCCATCAGACCTTTGAAATAACTTTGGTTGTTTCAGCAAACCATCTTGAGATTTTCCACAACTCTTTAAAGTTTTTCATGCGTGCAAGAAAAATTCCACTGAGTTATTTTACTGAATACTCCTGAAGCAATCCAGGTATATTCATATATCTTCCTAACTCTGTACATTAATGAGAAGATTCTGCCTCCTTTTTGAATCATTTATGTCACATCCTTTGGCAGAATAAAACATGTTATCAGTTCAGTTGGAAGCGTTATCCTTGGTTCTGCGTCATGGTGAGACGAAAACTAACATGACTGCCAGTAAGAGAGACTCAGCACAGCAGAGGACAAGTTCTAAGAAAAAAATTCATGCTTATGCTTATTTTCCACTAACTACTGGCAATTTTAGCCTTCTCTGCAATGCCTTACAAGCTTTTCTTCTCATCAGGCAGCAGTTATGCTATACATAATCAATTTAGATGCTGACTGGTTGAAGACATTGTTCAAGGTAAAATTAAATAATAGTGCTGAATCACTTCCCTCCCAACAAGCAGTACTATCACTCTGAAAAAACAGTACCATACTCTTTGGATTTACTCAGAAACACTAAAATTGGAACTTCTGCCACATGATAAGAGAAAGGTCACTAGTTGCACATTACAACCATCACCAATTATCATACATTGTATTGCAAATGCTGCCCTTTTGATAAAATCATGGTACTCAACTGGAATTACATAAACATGGAATACATGAGGAAAACAGTCAGGACAAAAAGAAGAGCTTCAATTAAAAGCAAATCTTTCTAATCCACCTGCATCCAAATAAAATTAATTTCCCCTGTCTCCTGTCTCATTCCCTGCTTCTCTTTTATTTCCCTCCTCCATGATTTTGTGTGTGTAAATTCAAGACTACAAATGGCATTACTGGGGGAACAGAGGCCAAATTCTGTTTTTACAGCTTTTTAATGCCACTGACAGTCTTAGTTTAAACAGGAACACAAGTGCTGTTAGATAGCAGAGACCCATTGACTCAACCAGGACACCAATCATCGATACCAGCTAAGGACTTGGCCCAGTACTGCTCAGAAGCTGCACTCTCTGCCTTAGCCAATCCAGTCAGCTGTTCTGTGAGCATGTGTCACAATAAACTGCATTGAAAGAATACAGAGCCTCTCCACAGGGTTGTTTTTAAAACCTTACACACTTCCAAGAAACTGTGTAAGCATCTTGCTTTAGTGGCAATAGCTGCCACGATAAAAGCAGCAAGGTGTATATCCCAGCAGCTTCCAGGACATTCACAGTTTTGTTACCCCAATTTTCTCTCAGCCACTTCCCTTTCTGGACTTGTTTCACACATCTGTGCTTAATATCTTCTGTAGAATGTATCATTCCATAGAAAGCCCAAATCACAGAACCTACAACACTGGAGCACAATATGCAAGTGATTGAGGCCTGAGTAGAGACATGGGGTCTTGTTGCTTTACTGAAACCTGAGTCACACCTCAGAATGTCAGCTGAGCTCCTTGCCTGCAGTATCTGACACAAACTGAATTGTGAGATACTATGGATATAAAGGAACCCAGCACAGAAAATCCTGGTACAAGTATTACAGTTGCACCTCACTGCTCCTTGATAAATTTTGTCATGCGATTCTGCAACCAGCCATTAGGTGCTGCTGCAGGTTTATTAATATGCTGGGCTGCCAGCAGTGGGGGAGTAAAAATGGTTAACAGCACCTGAGAGAACTGTCCTTGCTCTCTGTTCCCGACCCTTGAAACATGCCCTAAGGTGAGCTCCACAAAGAGAGTCCTGGACACATTTATCCCACAGTTAACAGATGCATTACTAGTTTCTGCCTGTATAAACTAGACCTGCTGAGGTGATTAAGCAGGTCATGCTCAGTAATTTGGTGGGTGTGGGTACAGCTTGCTCTCCACATGGGTACTTGATCAGATGAGCTGAGGGACAGTGAGAGGCATAATGGTGCTTCTAAAGTATTGTTTTTTATAGTTTTTGCTGCAGGTGAAATCTCAAGGCAGGAATTAAAAGACTGCCTCAGGACAAAGGTGTTTCAATACTGCTCTTCCTGGCACTCTTTGCTGTGGTTCTGCTGCAGCCAGGGACACTAATCTCACTTTAGCAAACCTGGCTAGTAATAAAATACCATTCCAATTTCCTTTTGTCCTCTGGCCACAGCACACCTGCAAGCCTGCTGCTTTTCTCTGTTATTATAAAAAGTAATTTTCTTATACAAATGTCCAAATTTCAAACTGCTGATTACAAATACACATATAAAAGCAGCTTATCTCAGCCACATTGTGCCAACAGTGGCCATGGTTTGGTTCTTTCCAACATTCACACTCCTAGTTACCTCTCCTGAACACAACAGCTTTTAATTTGGCAACGTTCATCATTCAAAAATTACTGTTGTTGACTTAAACAAGCAATGCCTAAATTTTTCAATATATAACCTTTTTCAATTCTTTTTTATTTTCGTCTTGTATTTCCAGTTTGCACCAGATGATTAGTTGCCCAGCTCCAGGGAATGCCCTCCCATATAAACCAGTAAAATTACCTATATTAAACATCTAGGTTCTAGGTTTCTACTGAAACTTCAGTCAAACTGACACCAAGTCCTGGAGTCTCTTGCTACCTGGATTTTTGAAGGGTTTCAAATCTAACAGGAATGGAGGCATATGTATCTGTTTCTCTGTCTGTCTCCAACTGTAAACTATGTGCCTGAGTAACAGCACACGTGAACAAACACACTATCCTGTATCCACAGAAAACTGCATCCTAAGCAGCAGGAAAAGAACATGCTGGCAGCTAATACTGTCCCACTTCAGTACTCTTGGCACTTTGCATGGAAAGGATGGCTCTCTGCTTTCCTGCTCATGTGCTGAAATCTTCCAGACACATTGCTCCCCACAACCCGAGGCTGACCTTTCTGGGAACACATTCTGTGCGTACACTGGGTATGTGCTGGACCTTGAACCGACAGATTTCCAAGCACCCTTGATTAAAGCTGGGCAGGAACTTTTCAGAAAAGCCATTCTTGGATATTTTTATCAGAAGTTGTTGATTTGTGAAACCAGACAACTTTCTGTAGCAGTGTACATACCAACTTTGAATGGAAGGATTTCTTGGGCCCACATATTTCTGAACAGAAAGAATCATCTCAACAAAACTGTTACTTATCCAGTAATCAGGAAACAACAGCAACTGTGTTTCAAGTCTTCATTGTCTGCACTGCTCCTGACAAGTGCTATTTACTGTCTTATAAGAGGCTGGTCTCTCTCATTCAGTACAAGTTTGGATTTTGCTTGGGGTTTGCTTAGGTTTTTTTCCTGGTAAAAAGGAGTTTTAGAATTTTTATCCCAGTCTCTCAGCTGCTGCAGACATACCTGTCCAGCTACCTGTGATTTGGATGAGAGATGCCTCCTCCAAAACGCCATAATAAACAATCACACTAGAGCAGTAATGCCATGCACACAACTCCTTACAGTTCAGGAGGCTCCCTCAGCTGGTGCCCGCAGGAAGCATCCTACCCCCTCCAGGGGGTTATGTAAAAGCCCCAACACCTTCTGACCAAAGGTGAGAACTGGGCAATGTGTTGAGTGCACACTTTTTACCTCTACTTTCCATTGAATTTCCTGGTTTCTCTAGTGGAGATCAGCTGCTCTGTTACGTCCAAGTATGAATGCTGATTTACATAATCCTAAGTGAGAAGTAAATTCAGAGTGCTGTTTCAGAAACTGAACTGCCCTTCCTGCACATTTTGCCTGTGAGCAGTACTTACATAACAAATAGCAGCTAGCTCCTGACGCAGGGTACTCGCCTCCAGGCTTGATGTTGTTTTCATTGGATTTACTCCATTGTCATAAACTGTAAACTTAGTTCCCATAAGATTTGATCTATCAAAAAAACGGAAAATCCAATCACCATTTGCCAGTAATGCTGCTTGAGACATCTATCCTTTAATGCACTGTAGCCCCAAAGGAAAGAGAAGTATTGAGTAGAGAGAGCTGTTATTTCTAATCCCAGGTAAATGGCAACTCCTGGATTAAAGGCCATAACAAAAACATAACAGTACAGTACAGCAGAGTATACTAAAAGTCCCTTATCGTTACACTGGAGGCTTCATCTTGCAAACTAGAAAATTCAAGAAAGCAGTAAGGAAACACTCAGTGGAGTTATTTTGTTTGTTTGCTTGTGTTTTTAAAGTATGCTTACTCTGTACAAAACTATCTGCTTTCTTACCTGACTACTAAACTCCACTAGAATATGGGGAGTGATTTTTATAAAGTCATAAATAATCTTTCCTATTTCAATGGAAAGGAGTGCAAAATACAATGTAGGACATACAAAACCACATTATCCTCATTCTGTGTCTGAACTGCAATAAATAGCACATGAAGTTCCAAGATCCACACAGGCAAATGGCAACGAGCAGCACAGGCCCTTTCCTCAGGCACAGATGATCTAAACATACATCGAGAGGCTGCAGGTATCAACAACAGACTGGTGTACAACACAGCAACAGACAGAAAAGAAATATGTCCTTCTGAAATAATTCCACTACCTGCAAATAACTGATTTGGATCTTAAGGAACAGGCAAAACCAAAGAGATTCTCTGTGTAACAGACAGTACTTCCATTCCAAGGTATTTATATCAATAGAGGCTAGACACAATGTACTCATGCACTTCTGAAAATCCCATTAAGATAAGTTGTGCTTGTACACCCTTGAGAATCTGGCCTTTGAGCATTTAAGAAGCTTCAGTCCTGATGACTTTTAATAAAATGTGATCCTGAAAATACTTGGGAGATTTTGAAAACATGCCTTGGATACTGTGATCTTTAAGACCATTATCACATGATCTATCTAGTCAAGCCTCTAATGAAGAAGTCACAGTGGCTTACAGGCTTCTTAATATCAAATGAATTTTGTATTATACAATGAAAATTCTTAGACTTATCACTGTTTACCTCAGTTTTCCAATAAAACTCTCTCCACCCCGAGACAGGTCAGTTGGGTCTATAGAGATGAGGTAATTAGAGGTTTTACTCTTCTTTCGTTTCCGTCCAGCTAACAGAAAGACCTAAGCAATGCAAAAAAACATATTCCAGAATGCTAAAGGGATTAGCACACACCACTTCCTGCCCTGATATATAATAAACCACAGGCAATTTTTCTGTCTTCCAACATCATTAGCAAAGCAACAGAAGGTCTCCTGACAGAAGGTCTCCTGGGACCTAGCAAAACCAGGGAAAAAAAAACTGGAAAAGGAAAATGACTTCTATTATTTATGGTTTAAATAATTAAATTTGATCTATTTTGTTAAATGTTTAATTTTAAGTTGCTCTGGCTCTTCCAGTTGAATTGAAAGTAGATGCTTTTCAGGCCACAGAGCCCCAACTGCTGACAGTCACATAGAGGTGCCATGCATGGATTATTTAAGGCAAAAGATTAGACATATGAAGAAAGGCAGTGGAACAAAGTGATACTGTTGTTTTGCTTTCGGAAGACTGTAGGACAGATCTCAGTGAAAGTGAAAATACATTTAAAATATACATTTTCTTTCTAATACTTCTTCAGATTTTTTATCAGTTTTTTAAATTCAGATGCAACTGGTATGCCATTCAAGTTATTTTATGACCTTTTTACCATGCTCCCTTTCCAAGTGGAGGTAATAAGTAGGGTACATCCCTCGATCCATTCCCTTCTTGTCTCTTGTTATTCTGCATTTGACAGTGACACCCTGTGGAGCAGGTCTTATGGCAAATTCCTCCAGGTCATCGACGTCTATGAGAGGCTCATTTGTGGAAGGACTGGGGGCTGAGGCCGCTTCCTAAAACAATAAGCAAAATTCAAGTTTCTCAGCTTTGATTTACAAGGTTATTAGTACAAAGGAACGGCATTTGATAGCAGTTGCACTGAAAAAAAAATAAAAATAAGGAACACACTGTCTTCCCCATTCTGGTTCCTCAGCAGCCTTGAAGACAGCTTGTCAAGGTAAGGATCTCTTCCAATCCAATCAGTCAAGCTCTTGGCTACCAGAGGCTTGGGGAGCAGTTGCCTGTGCAGCTGATGCTCAGTGTACAGACACAGCTGGCAAAGCAGAATGGGGTGGCTGCACAGACAGAAAGCTGTGCAGTTACACAGCAAAACCTGGCTTGCACCTTCCCATCTCAGTGCACCCCTTTTTCCAGAAAGGCCACACTCTAGGACAGTGATGGCCTTTGGTGAAAGAAAGAAATGAGATAGGGAGCAACAGTTTAAGCTAGATAGAAATACAACAAGATGAGAAGTCAGTGCGGTATATAAAAGAGTGAGGCACCATCAACTGGTTTAGCAAGAGCCTGTGATTCAGATTGTTTGAACAATCCAAAGTCTTATTTTATGTTCAGATGGTGGCAGTGAGAAAAAGGTGGAAAAATGCCTAGAAAAAGTCAATGGCAACAAAAGATCCTTCTGAGCACCTGCAAGAGGTAGAAAGGTAAATATTTACTGTTTACCTTTCTCTTCATTCAAGTTCAGACAATATTTGCTATTCTTCTCTCCAAGTCATTGTTTTCATTGCTTGCTCCTGTGAACCCTGAGAGCTATCACAGTAAATCACCCTGGAGATACTCCAGTGCATATTAAAAACAGAGCAAGAAAGCCAGGCCTATCCTGACTGCACTCTGAAATCATGCAGTACATAGCACCTTGCATGCCCCTTCTTCAGAACTCTCCCCTTACCTTGTTGGATTTCTTGCTTGTGGCAGAACCAGGCCGGGTGTTACTGTTTAACTGTGAAGAACTGGAGCTGTCTTCATCTTCCTCATCTTCTTCCTCATCAAAATTCATGCTACTTGATATGCCTGAGGAGAAAGCACCACACTTATATGAAATACTAATACATTAAAGCCTTCCATACTTGCTGTAAAACATCACTTATCGTGCTGCTGCACCCTTAGGCTCACAGGTGAGTGAAGGTGTGTGTGAGGGAGGTTCACTGTGTGAGGCGGTGTATGAACACATGGCATCTGCCCTGAGAAGCCAAAACATTCCAGTAAAAGAGAAAGGAAACATCATGGTTTCCATTTCACAGAGAAGATCAAGCTACCCAGTGATAGAGGAGCAAACACTCAGTTAGGAATTAAATTCAGATCATTTTCATCCAATCAAGTACTTCAAACACAACACAAAATCTTAAACCTGAAATTGGAGCTGAGAGGACAACCTGCCAGAGCCACTTGGAGACTTTAATAATTAAAACATAATCCCTTTTACAGCACACTTTCAACAGCTCCTATGAAATCTGCTGAAGAGTAGATCTTAGACTGAGAAGAAATAATCACATCAAGGAAATGTTCTCATGCATCTTTATTTCATGGAAAGAATAGTATCAGCCCAGGCCAACGGAACTGCCTTACAGCACTTGAAAATTTGACTTTACAAGAATTCAAATCCTCAGACATTTCAAAGGGAAACACAACTTTGAACATCAAATAGGTCTTAGCAGCAAAAACCATCAATGGTGGGACATTTGCCGGGCCTGGTTGTTCAAGGAGTATCATGTAGATGAAACCATCCCAGATTCAAGTTTAAACTCTTTAAGTTCCACATATAGAGGCTATATTTAATCCTTATAAAAAAACCAAAAAAATCCCACTTGGTCCAGAATTCCCATTACTGGTAAGTCCAATGCAGAAGGATAAATCAAATGCAGACTTCCAGAGCCAAGCAGCATGGGCATAACTAACTTTTCCTTCTGTACTTACCAGGAACATGATCCAGGGCGACAAGACTGGATTGGGAGGTGGAAGAGGACCAGGATGGATTTGCATGGGGATCTGGGAAAGGAAAAAATCCAAGGGTTTGATTCTGCAAACCCTTAATTGAGTGAACAAGCATAACTTGGCAAGAGGACTCTGCAAAGGGCTAAAGGCTTATGGGATGGGGCCATAATGCTGCCACTTGAATTTACAATTATGGACATTTTATCTTTCTGCACTGCACAATCAAATTCACCTTCTGCCTGCTTATACCTCCTGTCATCTTCTTTTTTAGTACCTTGAATAAAGTAAAAAAACCCTGAATCACAGAGCTGAAGCTTCAAAAAACCTCATCCACACTGAACAGTTGTGCCACAAACCCTCCTGTGTGTGATGTACCACTGCATGGTAGGGGCTTGGCCTACTTTTGAATTCTAACAAAAACCCAAACACCTCAAACCTGATTGAATAAGCGATACACACGGATTCTACACAAATATTCATTTGGAAACACTGAAAGAAGTATTCAGACAGCCTAATAATCAGACAACCTAAATTCCACCTCAATCCCTGTGCCTACTGTGTCCACATCATTGAAAGATGAAATCAGGCTCTCTGAACTGTTTTCTGGGAGTTCCAGGGATATGCATAAAGATTTTCATGTAGCTTAGTCTTTTGGAACACAAACTTGGTCTCCAACAAGCAGAGACTGAACCAAACCAATGTACAGAAATATAAACAGTAGATATAGACTCAATAATTGTTTACTTCAGTTCACATTTTGGAACAGATGGGGAAAAAAAAAGACATTTAAAATGGCTTTTGATGCCAGATGCACACTGGATAGTGAAGCACCACCAGAACAGCAAGAGTGAGTGTATAAAAGTAAAGCAGAAGCGTATGCGATGCTTGCATTCCATTCAGCTGCATCATGAAAGGTCTCATTATCACTTCTTCAGTTCCCCCAGAACGGACATACACCACAGAGCACGACAGCAAAAAGTTTCAATAGGATCTGGTTATGCAAGGGAGGCCTGAGTTCACAGGTCAACAGATATTTTCAAAGCCTGTAGAACTCACTCATTATTAATCACACGGTCATTAATCACAAGCATTATTTCTTAATAATGGCAACCATGTTCTAGGCTCTATGCATGGCTAATAGAGACAGTCCATCTCCTCAGCTGGCAGCTGTGCAATAAAGCCATACTTCATATCCACAGACGTAATCGGTTTATTTCTACACCTGTGCTCACTATTTCACCACCAATATTTTAGCGGTGAAAATTCTGTGCCAGCCTTAGAAAAGTCTGCCCTCATGACCCGTGGGGAAGAATGCTTCAGAGAGCTCCTGTTTTGGTTTTGAATCCAGAAATCAAATCTATTCCTCCCCAAATCTCGAAACAGTTGTAACTTCAGGTGTCAAAGAAGAACTAAGATTAAATTGCTCATTCCACGTCTCTACAGAGACATATTGCAAACTGATAAATGTGAGGACTACATGCTAGTTATTCAGTGCTAAAACTTACGGAAGTCTGGCTCTGTCCTAGTGACTCATTTGCCAGGGAGGAACTCTACAGATTAACACTTTGGAAATCAAAAGGGCGAATATTTCCTGAAGGAAGAAAATTATTCTAGTATGGCAGTTTCCAACAGATGGAGAAATCAAATAAAGCATTTGGCATTTTCTTGCAAGTGGCTTATTCTTTTCACACTCAGTAGCCTATAACCTCTTGTCTCGTATCACTTGACTCACTGGGGAAGCAGAGATGTGCTAAGAGAAGTTTCTCTCCAAGTTAGTGCCAAAGAGCAGAACAGGCATAAAAACCAGGGCTACGCAAATCTGATGGGACTCAGCCTTTCCCATTAGGCTGGTTAGCATTTCATAGAATCATAGAATATGCTGAGTTGGAAGGTACCCATCAGGATCATCGAGTCCAGCTCCTGGTCCTCTGCAGGACACCCCAAGAATCACACCATGTGCTTGAGAGCACTGTCCAAATGCTTCTTGAACTCAGACAGGTTTGGTGCTGTGACCACTTCCCTGGGGAGCCTGTTCCAGTGCCCAACCACCCTCTGGTTGAAAAACTTTCTCCTGATATCCAGCCTAAACCTCCCCTGACTCAGCTTCATGCCATTCCCCCATGTTTTGTCACTGGTCATGCGAGTGAAGAGATTGACACCTGCCCCTCCTCTTCCCCTCATGAGGATGTTGAAGACCTCAACGAGGTCTCCCCTCAGTCTCCTCTTCCCCAGGTCGAACAGACCAAGTGACCTCAGCTCCTCCTCATACGGCTTCTCCTTCAGATGTTCTCTAACAGCTTAATGTCTTTTTTCTACTATGATGCCCCAAACTGCCACACTATTCAAAATGAGGCCAGCCCGGTGCAGAGCAGAGTGGGACAATCCCTTCCTTCGACCAGCTGGCGATGCTTTGCCTGATGCCCCCCAGGACAGGGTTGGCCCTCCTGGCTGCCAGGGCACCGCTGACTCAGATTCAACTTGCCATTGACCAGGACCGGATCCCTTTCTACTTCATCTCTGTGCTCTTCCCCTTTTGGTCATTCCATGCAAGTCATTCCATGCAAGAGAAAGACTTATGGGAGACAGCAATTCTAAATGCTTTTCAGACCAATGGTGACCTGCCAGTAAGGACATGCCACAAGCAGGGAAGTGGCAGTAGGAATCCACATGAAGAGCCTTACTGACATGTAAAGTGTCACATCAATACTGAGATACACAAAACTTTCTAACAAGCCTCCTCTGCTGGTATCAAGCAGCAAACCATACACATATAGTCAAAATATTTTACTGAGATGCTGCTAGCACTGTCTTAATACCTTTCTTTGTGTCTCACCCAGCATATCTCTGCTGTTAATAAAAATGAATAAACCTTAGTATTCCCATTTTAAAAACGTGCCCCCCTCTCCCAACTTGAAGCATAGTAGTGATTCACTTTTAGCAGTGTCTGTTCTGATCAGGAGTATACTCAGACCTAGTAAAAAAGGTCACAAAATGTATTTGAGAATACAAAGAAACAAAGCAAAACAAAAAAATTCCACTCACTGCTTCTATTAAAAATAAAAAAAAATTTGGGCAGAATAAAAATTTATGTTAACCCGGAAAAACCCATCAAAACTGAAAGTGTCCCCCAGAGTAAAAACCTGAAGGCTGTGACCTAATTTGAGAAGTCTGTGGGTAGTTTTTAAGTCAATCAGCTTTAGTTAGTAGTGTGCCTCACGATTAAATATTCTGAGCCATGGTCTAAGGCAACACAATCACCACACAGATCAGAACTTGTTAGTCATGCCCAACACCCCTGCAACTCAAATGCTCAGGAAATAGCGCACTTGGAGAAAATCTGCCCATTTCAGTTGAAGCTGCTCACATCTGCAGGGTAACGTCCCAGAAAAATGAATCCTAGTGAGAACTGCTCTGCAGACAAGAGGCGGCATTTAGGTATGAATAGTCTATTCTACACGAGTCAAGTTTGCACTTACATTTTGCTCTTTATACACAAAGAGTTTGTTCTTAAAGCATCAGAGCGCTCTTGGCTTGAGCCATCTTTGCTTCAAAAGCTGTACACTGAAGAAGAACAACTCCAAAGCAAATGTCTTCAGAAAAAGCTTTGTGAGGATTTCAGGATTTTTTTTTTCCTTCCTACAGTTACTGTCTAATGAGAGATAACAACAGTGCAGGAAGGAAGAGACAGATGCATGAATGTGTACATACACAATCTATCTCCAAAGCATACATGCCTCTAGAAAAAAAATAAAAAAATTCCAGAACATTTGAGGACTCTGTGTGGGAAATGCTGCAGAATACACAGTGCTGTACTTTTCACCTCTGCAATTATGAACACACATTATGAAAACGTGAACAACATGTAGCTGACAGCACAACTAAAATGAATATTCTAGTTTGAACTTTGCTATTCCCTGCTCTTTTTTTAGCCATCAAATAAGTGATTTCCAGAGTTGTACAATATAAAAATGAGAACAGATGGATGTGAACATTAGCATCTGCCAGGTACCTCAATAGCACTGCACTGCAGATGGGGAAGTCACATCCCTGAGAGCCTGCAGAGCTCTTGTTCCTTGGGACAGTAGAGACTTCCATTATCTATTTTTTTTTTTAGGTTTGGTTTTGGTTGGGGTTCTTTTAGATAATAGAATAGAGCCTAACAGGCTCTGAGGAGAAGAAATACAGATTAACAAACTCTGCTTAGACTAGGGCTGAGAGTGAGAATATGAAAAGGAGTCAATGTACCTCAAGCAAGCAGTGAGAACATGAAAGAAGCTTTGGCTACTTACCTTTTTTCTGCATTGCTGTTCTAAGATCTTGTTTGCTTTGCTGTTGTTGACTACTAGCCACTTTCTCTCCATCATCTTCATCATGGCTGGAGTGTCCAACAGTGAGAATCTGCACTTGACTTCCTATCTTCTGAACATCATCTTGAAAAGCAGCTGGGCCATCAATCCCTGTCAGACAGCAGCAAAAGCCTTAGTTGTCTTTCTGTCCAGAAGGTACTGAAAAGAGAATTGTTCACTCACAAAAAAGCATCTTTTATAGGAATCAGAGACTGGATCTAACCATTCAATAATACTTCCAGACTTAAACATGACTAAATTAGCCTCCAAGGCAAACATTTTATTTCCCACATGCTACACTAGAGAATCTCCAGAAGAGGATTAGGATTTCACTGTTGCTCTCCTCACTCCAAAGCACACCTATCCATGCACCAGAAACACTGAAAACTAAACAGAAAAGAAATCATTGGAGAGAACTGACAAAGAAAACATAAACCTTTCATAAGGACACACAACTGGTCCAGAAACACATGAACCCAGTCCCAGGTTATGCCATATCCCCTTATTAACCACACTGCTATCATGAAACAATGCTTCCAAAGTTTCAAAATGCTGGAAAATTCACAAATAGTTCTAGCAGTGTATACAGCGTATTGTCTAAGTCTAAATACACCTTTTGGGTTAGTAAACTGCCATACAGTTAATACACCAGAGCAAAACTATAAACAAGATATTACATATTCCCTAGAACCTTCATCCTCTGAGATGCTTAAATCCTGAACAGGCTCAGTCCTGGGCAATCTGCTGTGAGCAGGGACATGGAACTGGACAGTCCCCAGAGGCATCTTCTAGCCTCAGTCATGCTGTGATCCTGTGGCTTCTCACCTCAGCCAGAGAGAAACTATTTACCTCCTTACAGCTGTAAATCACCTCTGAAGACAGAAAAAAGAAAATACAAGGTGGGGTATGTTCTTATCACGAGCCAACTTTTTTTTTTCCCCTTCAGGACAGCAAGTTAAAACATTGGATTGCAGATGTACTTCAGCTCTTAGTTAAGATGTAGTGCTGGAATATGTTACTAAATTAGCTACATAAAAATACACTTTTGCATTTGATAAAAATTGTAATATTATTATGTACAAATATAATGAATACCATAAGCTGTATACTGTTGCTGTAGAGGAATTTTTGTTAATAAGCAAGCAACATTGTAGAGAATTTGCGAGCACTACAAAGAGCTAGTTCAGTAAAGAATATGGTGCTTCTCACATCAAACAAAGCTGAATAAATCCTGTGAGAAGGAGCTGCAGGGACTGGGATTTTTTTCGGACTGCGATCTGCAGCAGAAGTCTCCAAGAATACCATTTCATCCTGCTTTGCCAGCAGCTGTCAACTTGCATTAGAAGACAACTGGATTATACATTTAGCATGCTTAACTGTACTCTGCAATATCTGCTGTCACTGCCACTGCGATACAAAGCATAAGTGGAAAAGAAAGAGGTCCACGCCCTCAGGAACAGCACTGGTTGTGCAACTACCTAACAAGACGCAGCCCAACACTGCAGAAGTGTTAAACTAACAGAGTTCAAGACCACAAGGAATAATTGATTCACCTCCATCTCACAGACGCTGGCAATTTCTGCGCCAACCCTGCAAATTCTGATTTACTTACAGCAAAGCTAACAACAATTAACAACAAATAAATAATCTGTCCATATAGCCTTGAAGGATGAAATAAAGTCCAAGGAAATGTCTCTGTGACCTTGCTAGGATGAAAATTTCAGAAGCAGCTCTGCATGATGCAGAATGAACAGTATCATTTCCTATGCCTTAAGTATAATATGGCAATGAAGAGAATAGCATTTTTCTTAGAAGTTATCTCAGGATAAGTACTCCTGCAAAAGTGCTCTAGAACAGAAAGGCAGGTGCTCAGATCCTCTGTGGTATTTTTAACAGCTTCAACGATATTTACCATTATCATTAAAGTGGCTATCTGTAGTTAGGTTCTTACCTTAATAATCAGAATTTTAAAAGTGTTAAGCATCCGTGAGTTTAACAAGATGCCTCATGAATATCTATCTAGCCCCTTATTAAGCCTTGGATGACACAAACCTAATTTTGAGAACCCTTTTCAGAAGGAACAAAACACCTTAATTATTCCTCTTCAAAGCAGACATTGATCTGCAGCAAATAAAATGCCTTCGACAGCACTAGAGATTGCACTGAGGCTGCTTTTTTTCAGATGCCTGCAGAACATCTGCACTCACATCCCATGCTGTCAGGAACATTGTGTATTATTAGGCCTTAGGACAAAGGCTACACTGGCAGGTCACACTTTTAGAAAAGAAAAATCAATTTCAGTATTCTGAAGAGTGCATCACTGGTAGAGTGTGTTATTAAACTTTATGAATGGTTCCACTGGTGAGCACATTTAACGGGATGAAATACGTAGTCAGACAGAGGGGATTAAAAAAAAAACAAACTTCTGTTGCATGAGAACACTGTAGATGGTTCATGGCAAATGTAGTATTAACTATTTAATACTTGTGTGTCTGCATACACCTTTGCACACACACATCTTTGTAGCTATATGTGCACATGTTAAACAGTATTAAATACAAGCATACATACACATTTTTCTATATCATGAGATATAAGCTCATCCTCCTAAGTCATAGTTCAAAAGGCAGCTTTACCATCACTTACCTAATATCTGAAAACACTTCCAAGTTTCCATAATCATGATAATCAAGGTGGATCTCTCAAGGTGTTCTCACTTTCTTTGCCTCACTGACTCGTTTTCACCCACTTACCAGAAGGATGCTCCTCTGTGCAGTAAAACAAACTAGTTTTCTATAGTTATAAGTTCCCTGAGTTTAAGAACACAGTCAAAAGAGGCAAAAGAGCTGAGTGGGTTGTGCCAAAAAAAAAAGTAATTATTGCTGTGGTCAGCATTTTTTACAGTGTTTCTCAAAAATCAGGTAGGAAAAAGCCTGATGGAGATGTCCTTGAATACCTGCTAAGAAGTAAAGGGAATTGTTGAGAGGTAGCTGTGAAGGAGGGCAGGGAGGAAAGTAGAAGATTAAAACAGCCCTCAGAGTACCACTCCCTTCAGTAAAGGCCTTCTGGTACACTTTGACATGGTCACGTCTCAGAAGAAAACCAGAAGTAACAGAAATGAAAACAAAGCAATACTGAAAAAAAAAAAAAAGCATCAGCAAATGAGTATTACTGGCATTTACATCCTATAAACTACTATTTATCAATTGCCTGTACACTCTTAGCACCTAAAAACTTCTAGACAATACTTATAAATAGGCAGTATCAATCTCTTAAGAGCTAGTAATCTAAACTACCACACAGAATGTTTTTATAAACTGAACTCACCTAAATTCTAAGAAATTCAAAACACATTAGATAGACATGCACTTTACTCGGATCTCAGGTATGGGATATTTAGATAGGATTTTTTTTCTTTTGCTTTAAACACATAAAATGTTAACTACCTACACCAAAAAAAAAAATCATAAGATCCAGGTCTGGAATGAGAGGAGAGAGAGAAAAAAGGTATGGGAAAAATAAATATGAGAACTGCCATTGAAAACCTTGGGAAAGAAATAAAGTAGCAAAATTTTGCTTAGTGTTCATGATGTATGAGAAACAAATCTAAGTTTTCACGCATTTTATAGTACCACATTATGCCTGTTTGAAACTTCAGCTTCCAAAGCATGGACCAACAAACCAAAATCCATTCACTTTCACTGGACTTTGTAAAGACAATACATTCTGAGGAAATGAAGCTAAGACCTTATTTAATTGTTCCAATCCAGCAGTTAAAGGAAATCTTTTTATGGGAGGGTCACCAGGCATACATTTCTCTATCCTATATCCATTTTGATATATCCTATAGATAAATGTTAAAATTAATATAGATGAGCCATCAGAATTCTACTAGATGTAGTTATCCAATTTCATCTGACAAATTGAGCAAGTACAGACCACATGGGATGGAGATCATAGATCCTGGAATATATCCCTTCTCCTTGGCCCTACAGATCTTGAAGTCATTAAAATAGCATCTAGCACTAGTAAAGCACTACAAGTACAGTTCTGGGTATCCATTTGAGCCTCATGCATTTTTATGCCAGGTTCACTGTCTTCCAAGTTATTTTTCTGAAAAGAAATATACTTCCTAAGCCTATGTGCATGTCAAAAAACAAGGGTATAGTCACACTGAACACAAGGCTTGGATCAGTCCACTGAGAAGTCCTGTCTAAACCCAGAATCTGTAACAGAATAGGTCTCAGTGGAATTCCCTCTCAAATCAGACAGAAATTGAGCATTCCTAGACATTTCATCAGTGAAATTCTCAAAGTCATCACAGTCTAATGACACTGTAATATTACAGAAGAATAAGAAAATGTAAGAGGACAGGCCAGAAACACAATTTTGATTATTTCATTGCTCAAAAGATAAAGAAACAGTACTTAAAATTTTTAGGGGGCAAAGGAGTAGGAGGAAAAAGTCAAATGGGAGAAAATTACTACAAACAACCAAGCAATGTATGAGCTAGGAGTTCAGAGAGGCAGCTGACACGTGTGGCCATGACTTACAGATAAGCACGAGATCAAGCACAAGGAAAGATTTTGCTATCTGACAATAGTGCACAGTGCACAATGGTAGTCTTGGAAAATTTGTTACAGATGAAATATGTGACAACCTACCCAGTAAGAAACCACAGGTGTAAGCATAGGGAGCCAGTTCTCCAAAACATCATCAAAATATTCAGCTATATACTGCATGAATCCCCAGAAACTGGATCTTTCAGGAAAAGAATCTAATTGTATATTTATAAATATCATGTTCCTCTCTGCATGTATTTATACATGCAAACATTTTGCTGTGAAAATATTTTCAGCAAATGTTATTTCCTCTAGGTACTTTTACATGAACTTATAAATCCAGGAAAGAATGATTAACTGATTATTAAGAGAGCCTTAGGACCCCATGAAAATATAGAGTTCTAATTTATTTGAAAACAACTCCTTTAAAAAATTAAGAATTTATTTATAGGGTATTTGCAAATTAAGAAAGAAAATACAAAGAAAAGTATGGTAAATCAGAGAGAAGTAATTGAGCTCAGTGACTGAAAGGCAAACGAGATTAAGTAT